CTCCTTTACTGTTTCTTATAACTTTTTTCCAATTTTGCATGCATATATCTGGTAATCTAAACAACTAATGTAAAGACAACGCTAGGCAATACAACAAGCCGTGTCAAATTACTATTATTTTGTTTAGTGAAGCTCAATATCATTTGTTTTTGTTTGTTTGTTTACTATTTTGTAAAAAAAAATGAGAGCTGTCAGTCTTTGCACAGTACAGACTCACTATAGGGGAAATCCCCTCACAGAGCCCGCTTCAGCCCGCCCTGCCACAAGTAGGGAAACATTAACACCTTAGTCTGGATACGCCCACTTCTAAAATGCAAGCAGCATCAGGAACTTATGATAGTTAAAGTGCAGTAGAAAAATAAAATTTGTCTCTTTAGCCTATACACATAAATACCTTATGTCCTCTGCTATGTCCTCCAGGATTATATTATATTGCGCGCGCACACACACACACACACACACACACACATGCGCACACACACACACACACGCCTCTACCTCCTCTGGGCCTTTCCATAGACAGTGCAGATGAGCGTAGTTGCGTATCTCGTTTCCTCCATCACATACAGGATCATCTCCATGGATAGATGATCCAGGGCACTGCGTTCAGGTTCCCTGCAGTCGGGTGAAGGCACAGCGGCATGCCTTGCCTGAGCCCCCAAGCAGCGTGCCGGGGTGCTGGGACTTGTACTCATCTTCTAAATTCAGATTGCCTTATGCATCCTATAATGATAGTTCTGTTTTGCCCTCTTCTTTCCCCCTGGATAAGCACTAAAAACTAATCCAGGGGTGTCTTTCATTTAGAAAGTACAAAGCACCATCACTATTTATTTCATTTGCTGGATTAGCATATATTTGTATAGCTGTTATCCAATAGCATTGAGGCATACCTCTCTCTGAGAAAACCTATTAGTAAAGAAGAAAGTTAAACACACTTAAGCCACTTGATGTTGCAAAAAAGAGAAAGAAAAAAAGCCACTGCTTTTTGGAATATGGATTTCCATGTTTCATGCACTGCTTCCCCTTGGTGGCAATGGGACCAAACATGAAAAAGGCAATTTAGCACTGAAATATAGGCTCTGAAAATCATTTCTAATCAACCATTTCCTGTCATGCAGACACAAAAAAATAGCTCAGTTTAGATAGTATCTAATTAAAAGAAGCACTGTATGCTTTTTATTCTTCTTAATTTGAAAAAATAAAAAAGTGAAACTCCTGATGACTTAAAAACAATGCTCCTGTTTTCTTTCCTCCTCTAAGTCAGAACTGCTCGTCCAGCAGGCAGTCTTGCCAGCAAAGGATAAGAGAATGAAACGCTCTCACCCTCCCTACTCATTTGTTCTACTGTACGATTGAGTTCCTCCTTGAGGAACTACACACCTTCCATGGCATAGTCTGTCTCCTCCTGGTCTTTCCCCCACTGCAGGTGGAAGGAGTTAAGCAACCCTCTCTGTTCCTCTGGCCCACTTTCCAGAGGCCCTGCATCCCTCAGGAAATAGGAAAAAGAGTCATTGCTTCCATGACAAACTTACTTACATAAGGGCAAAGTTTTAAGACATCAATTCATTTGCTTGCTTACTAATCCTCCATATCAATGTTATCTCTATTCCTATTCCTCACTTCAAAAACAGCCTTAGAAGGTCAAGGACCCAGTCTGCCCTTCCACCCCTGTTCAATGGTTGCCAGCTATCATCAAAGTGCTGGAACATTCTGGGCTTCCAAAGTGAACAGAAAGCTTCCACGTATCTCTTACAAGGACAGTGTCACTCTCAGGATGGATTACCCCACTGGCAGTCACTTATCCATGAATAATGACAATTATGGTAATGACAAAGATAACAATGATAACCAAATGTTTACTGTGATCTGGTGTGCTGGGTCCTTTAATCTATTGACACATTAACCTTTAAAGCAGTCCTGTCTCAGTTAGTTGCTGGAACAAATACCGGACACCCAAAATGACAGAAGGAAAGGTGTATTTATCTCACAGTTGCTGGAGGTTTCAGTCCACACTCAGCTGGCTCCAAGGCAGATAGGCACATGGCAGAGGGCAACCTTTCATGGCGGTGGCAAAGAGCAGAGAACAAAATGGAGGAGTAGCAGCAACAATGGTGACAGAGAGCTAGTCTATCTCTCTGTCTCTCTTACATTATATTCAAGCGATCCACTCTACACTGACTCCCACCCATAGTCCCAGCAGTACTCAGCCAAATAATCCCAGTGGATTATGAGTTAATAACAAACTCTAGAAGTAAGTCTGTCCCATGACTTCCATGAGGCTTTGAGGGGATAACTAGACACCAATCATAACAAGCCCCATAAAAGTCCTAGAAGGTAGGTACCACTATTTCTCCAATTTTACATATTAGGAAACAAAAGCATGACATGTATGCACCATTTTGCCTAGATAAGGATCCAATGAGGGTATGAGCCAGGCAGCCAGGGACTAGTGCTGAAAGTTAGAGCATGCAACTATAATGAATAGGCCTTTAGAAAGGGAGGAGGAATTGCACCAGGTGATAGCTATGGTGTCTGCACTTCAAAGAAGATGAGCAATTGGCTAGAGTCTTTTTATAATTCTTAAACTGCCTATCAGCTTAGAACTTGGTAAACTGTTCACCAAAGGGGTGATGAGTAACAAAGATGTAAGGCTCAGACACCTTTTCCAACATGAACAATCTGTTGTAAGGCATTTGTTACTTTGACCACTGTGGTTTTGTCAGAACCTACTGGGTTCCAAACTGGAGGAACACATTTGAGATGTTTCACTAGAAGATTAAAAGGGGAAACACAAGCAAGCCTGGGAGAAGCTGGATGCACAGCCTTTTCTTCGGACCAGTGATTCCACTTCTGATCCAACTCACAGAAGAAAACTACTTTTTCCTTCAGGACATTAGACATCTATTTAAAGAAAGTTCTTCCACAAAGCAAGAGAGGCATCATGAGGATATAATTTTCTCTGCTGTTTGGCCCAGTGTTGAGTGCACAGCAAGAAGGCAGGAAATTGAAAAACTTCAGGATGACAGAGGTGGCGAGACGTAGAAGAAAGTGAGTCTGCACAACTTTTTATTACCCTTAAAACACTTGTTCCTGTAGCAGTAATCTTCACGTTCAGCCGCATCTGCCCTTTGCTTTCTTTTTGAAAACATTATCTCTTTCCAGACATGATTCGTTGTTCTTTTTTCCCTTATAAATGCTGAGTAAAGCAATGAAACCTGTAGGGTTGTGGCAAAGTTAGTGTTGTTTTGGGAAAAGGAGTCTTTCTGGTAAGTAAACTACTGACAAAGGCAGAAGGAAACAGAAGAGCTTTATTTGTAGGCTCCAACTAAAAGTTTGAAAATGATGGGGGAAATGGCTGCAAGCCCACAGACACTTCCAAACTAGCAGCCACATATTCTGTGCTACATTAACACTCATGTTTGTTTAAACATATGTAAAGAATGCTGTCTCCTCTTGTCCCCAACACCAGCCTACTTGTCCTAAACCCATATATCACAAGTTTCGACTTGCCAGAATGCTCCAAGGATGAAGAGAAGCCAACAATCTTTCTCATAGTCTAGGATGTGCCTTAATACTACTTGCTGAAAACGAATTACTTTTTAGGGGGTCACATTTTATGAGGAAATTTTGCAAACTCAATGTCCTGTCCCATGAGAAAATTCTTGGTGTAGTACACAATGTTTTCCCCAAATTAGCTGAGAAAATCTGATACTGCACAAAGATAATTGGGTTTTCCTATTCAGGGGTGGGAGTAAGACAGTCGCCGTTCAGTTCTGCCTAGGACTGGCTGAGTGGACTATGCAATATCATGGCTATCTGACACTCAAGCATAAGAAGTGAAATAAAACAGAAGAGCACACAGATGAAGGAAACCTGGACCGGGGAGATAGCTCGACAATCTAAGCTCTGCCTGGCAAGTGGAAGGACTTGGGTTTGATCCCCAGTACCACATGCTGTGACAGCCATGCCCCTAGGCCCCTCAAGCTGGCCTCTGAAACCACGTGTGGTGGCCCATGCCTATAATCCCAAAACTGGAGAGGCTGAGACAGGAAGATCACTATGAGTCTGAGCTGCATAGTGAGACCCTGTACCAAATAAATAATAAATCAATATATAAATGCTTAAAAAATAAAAACAAAGGAAACCTGGCCACAAATGGTAAATAGATTTGTTCACACTTAATTACTTCGGCTTTAGCTTCTAAAAATTGATGCCACAAGCACCTGAAATCACCTGAAAGTGGTTCACAAGAACAGAAAATTGGAGCCAGTGAGATAGCTCAGTGACTAAAGCACCTGCGTAGGCAAGTGCAGGGACCACAGTTCCATCCTCGGCACCACGTGCCATGTCAGTCCCGCCCCCCCTAGGGTGGGCTGAGCCAGTCACAGAGTCCCGGGTATAGTGGCATACACCTGTAATCCCAGGGCTGGGAAAGATGAAAACAGAAGGATCACTATGAGTCCTAGCTGCATAGTGAGACCCTGTAAAAACAAATACATTAAAAAAAAAAAAAGTGAAATAGTGGCCTCATAAATAATGAGACCTAGACGTGAATGGTCTGCCTCTCTCTTGCTGCAAAGCATGCCCTAGCAAGTCTGAGGCACATGCCTTCTTCCTAAGCCTCTCAGCCATTTACCATTTTCACAAAAGTGTTTCGGTTTACTTTGTGAAGCCAGTGATTCTCTGTAAAGTGCCTCTTACCTCCCAGCAGAAACGCTCACAAATATCAGTCAGTTACATAAACAGATCAACATAATCAAGTAAGTCCCTTCTCATTTTTTAACCCACTTTCCAAAATTCCCTCGTCACATACACAGGAGGCATCTAGGGGGCCATGTTTTCCTTAAAGAGTTTAGGAAGACGTTAAATATGAAAACATACTAAAATAAAATAATGCCTAGATGTTTAGAGAAACTAAATTTAAAAATTAAATAGATTTATTTGAATGATCACAGGAGTTCCCTCTGCTTTTCACAATCATTTAATTCTTTATTTTCATGCTTCAAAGAAAAATCATACACTTCATATGACAAACACAACTTGGAAAGGTACGCACTGACTATGAGTTTGCACCTGCGCCCTGGCCCTGGCCTTCTGCACAGCAGTGACCTGCTTAGACACCTCGGGCTGCTCTGCTAAGGGGGAGGCCCTGGAGGGCAGGAACCACATGGGACTCTTCTTCACCTCTGGAGCCTCTGGCTCGATGAGCATGCGTGCTGAAATGGCCATTCCTATGAAGTGGATTCTTCATTTCTAATTTCAGATCTTCCTTTGGCTGAATTTATGCGCACTCTTCACTAAAACAAGTTCAGGAGCTTAGTTTGGGGAGTAAGCATTTGCAAGACTAGTGATAGTCATTTACCTCTAAACAGTCACAGTGCAGAACACCAGCTTTAAGAAGCTGATCATAAAACATGCTATATCACAACCTGAACGATAATGTAAACTTACTGCTGATAAGACAGAGCATGAGATGGGTTGTATGAAAAATTGGGTCCCATTTCCAATGAGATAATATATTAAAGTTAAACAAAATATATCAGCATCTAGTACAAGTACTGTACATGTTAGCTTTTATTGTAGCATCAGTACCTCCTGAATATATTGTCTTTGAAAATTCCTTACCTTTACCTGTTTATTTCCCCCCATCGTGGTACTCCAGGATTAATGCCACAGTGTTGGCAGTGTTTTGAAATCCCTGAAGTGCTATAATCACCCCAAGTACCATTTTATTTATGTAAACTGTGTCTACCCAATGAATCCATTTAAATATCTAGTACTGAGAACTGCTATCACATAAGGCTTAATAAATGATTCCCTCTGGCTCTAAAAGCAAGTACTTTTTCAATGACAATGGGAGGAAAAGCAAAGGAATTGCTCTGTGGCATCTGTTGTGCAGCGCTTTCCGAATGGCACATCTTGATAAATGCATGAGGGTCCTTGGAGAATTACAGCACACGGTGAAGAGGGATTGGTAAAACTCCCAGTACCTCTGAAAAGGAAGGCGAGACAGGTCAGTGGCAGGAAGGCACCGTGGCGCACGTTAATGGCAACAGCCATGGTGCACGTATGCGTCAGTCTGCCCCCAGGCAGGACAGCTTTCTAGGGTTTGTAAGAGAGACAGAATGCTCCATGGAATTGAGAAGGAGGAGGGAGAAGATGGTGTAGAAGGAGAGAGGAGACAAAATAATACTGCACAATTTAGAACTCAGAAAAAAAAATATAAACTGTATTTGTGTGAACTTCCTGGACTGCTCTTAAGCCCAAAAGGCTATTTCAAATTGTGCTAATGTCCTCCATGTGTCCCGTGTGACATATGTATTCAGATATTCAATGGAAGTGGGGGAATGAATGAATTAAATAGCTTTTAAAGGAAAGCTAGCTAATAAGAGGCAGAATAAGATTGCATAACTCACCATCGGCCTCTAAGCCCAAGGAACTTTAGACTCTGATCCCTCCCCATGTGTTGGAGACAGACTTTGACTTTAAAACCAAAAACAGCATGCTTGGTAGGAAGAACTGGTTTATAGAGGCAGCCAAGTTTGGAGTCCACAAGCAGGTGGGGCTCTGACAGTGACTTTCTATATGATTTCTTGTTTGTTCTCTGCTTACTAACAACCACTATAAGATATTTAAAAGTGAGTGGGATAATTTACATAAAATTATGCAACTTCCTGGTAAAATGCTACATGAGCAACCTCAAATACTATCATTTAATTCATTTAAATTATTGAAAAGAAACTAAAGCTACCACGTTTATATATTTATTCATCTTTCCCTCAATAGAATAATCCCTCGAGAGACTGATTCCCTCATATCATGTCTACAATAGAACAATGAACTCTCATAGCTGCATTTTGTAACCTTTTTCTCATTACATTTGAAAAAACATTTAGAAGAATTCCTAGATCCAATATTTTAAGTTAGAAAGGTCTGAACTTGTGTCGCTGTTTTGCAGTACTTGATAAGTAAAGCCATAATGACTAGATTCTTTGTTTACCTCCAAGTCCTCATCAGGAATAGCTCTTCGCCACTTTGTGTTCCACCTGATGTGTTCGTAGGCATTGACAACAACCTCAATTGCTTTGGGACAAGAATGGCATGCCTTTATCACCTGCAGAAAAGCATATTTTCCTCTATTCAATGCACACATCTGACTCATGCATTTTGTTCACAGACAGTGAGAATTCACAGACCATGGTGGTGGAGTAGCATGCACTTATAATCTTAGAGACTGAAGAGGCCAAGGTGGAAGGATCCCTTGAGCCCAGGAGTTTGGGAATAGTCTGGGTTAGGCCTCCAGGAGCACTGAAGTGCCTTTGAGGAGATCCTTGCCCTGGAGTATTCAAACACATTCCTACCACCACGGAGGATGGGCAGATTAATAAAATCAAACTAGCTTCCTTCACTATACAGGGTCAGTGTGGACAAAGTGATAACAATGAAGGTAAGAACGTGAAGGATTTTATTAACAAATAAAAGATGACTTGAGATTTACTTTTTTTAATGTATTTAGTACAGGATCTATAGGGTCTCACTATGTAGATTGGATTCATTATGATTCCTCTGTTTTCAGCCTCCCAAGAGCTGGTATTACAGGTGAGCACCACCACGCCCAGTCTCAGTTGCCATCTCAGCGCTCCCCGCAGTGGGGCAGGCACACTAAGCCAGGGATTGAACCCCAGCCGCTGTGCTCTACCTAAGCAGGCAATTTAGTCTGCTGAGCTATCTGCCTGGCCCTGAAATTTAGATATTTTATTAGTACATCTGTTAAATAGGTTATTGGATGATTTTTTTAAAGAAAGAAAGAAAGAAAGAAAGAAAGAAAGAAAAGAAAGTTGAGCCAAGAGTTCCAGAATTTCTCCAGGAGACAGCAAGTTTGCACTTTAGATTTTGGGCCAAACCGAATTGGATATGTAATCACTTAACCAATCTTTGCACTAGCCACAAGCTTGTACCTATCTGACCAACCCACTAAGTAGATGTATTAAATTAAAAGAATGAATGTATATGATATACTCTGAAAACAAAACATACTGATTTCTAGTAAGAGATTTATCATGAAGATTAGAGGCAAAAATATATACATAAGACAAGATCAATTGAAATTACAGGCTGGTCTGTATATTTATAGGTTCAATTGTGTGGTTTAAAAAATAGGAGCTATACAAATTCCAAGGAGAGCTATGTAGATTGGGGATAGACAGGAAAGATGTTTTAGAAGAGCTGAGTTCAGCCTTCTGTTCTAAGCAGTTGGAAGGTCTGGGTGAACCCAACCCCTGTACCCACCTACATGTACTTACGTGCTACTCTCCACACACAGCATCAGCAAATGAGATGATTATCATGAAAGAGAAGTGTAGCACGGACAAAAACAGCTGTATTCTCTTTCATCTGACCAAAAAACCATTCTCAGAACGTGTCTATTCATGACAGAGGTCACATTTTTTCTCATTCTTTTTTTAACATTATAAAGTCCTCCAGTCATTCCAGACACAATAAAAATATTAAAAAGACCGTATATGGACTGGATAATTGGAGCTACAAACTATTCCAAGAAATAAGCTTCTCTCATTTTCTATACATACATCAACCCAGAAAGCTTAAATGGAGAAAAAATACTTTTGTGGGTAAGGTGTAATGAGTATATATATATATATATATATTCAGTCCTTATTCATGGAATTCTGGCATACAGCTCCTATATTTAATCTCTGGGTAGTCATAGGAAGCCTCTTCCAACCAGAAAGTGCACACCTAATTAAAGAGTTGGCATTTTCAGCATATGTACGTGTGCACACACATGACCACCACCGTCGCTATGGATAGACTTACGGTTCTTTTATGTTTGACTCTTTCTGAGTTATGTATTCTTCATAATAATCCAGTAAGTCAATAGGTTAGTCACTTTTCTGAATTCAATGAGTCATTCTAACAAATAATCAAATGCAAAGAGGAAATTGTAGAAACCCCAATTTGTAGCCAGTCTGGCAGAAATATAGGTAACCTACACAAACCAACTGGCATCTGGCATCTAGAGTAGGGTAGTCTTATGGGACAGAGTTCATAAACCATGTGATCTGACACCAACTGCAAATAGGTGGCACCAAAATTGCATGGAACTGTTGGACACTCAATGTTAAAGTATGGGAGAACTGGTGGCTCTGAGAAAAACATGTCAGTGAGTGTCTCTATTTTACCACCTTGTTTTCTCTGCATCTCTCCACACCTACCCCAAACTGCTTTGGGTTTTGATGAGACACAAGAAGAAAACAGAAGTAAAAGTTTTGATTAGTTGCAAAGTGTCCTCGTGGAGATGTCTCTAAAGTGGGTTCATCCTGTCACTGGCAATGCTGTGAGTTCTACAGAAATTCCCCCAAGTTGGAATACCTGCCTCTCTTGACAAGATCAAGAGTTCCTTGTAACTCAATCCTCTCCACTCTCCACAGCCAACAGAGCTCCTCCACCCCCTTTGCCAAGACCTTATCCTTGGAAGTTCATTTTCATTTAGACCAGTTTTGTGTAGGATAGATCTTAGCTGGCTCTCCAGGGTGGCCAAGAAATGGCCCATTAGAAATGGCCCATCATCAAGAATAACATTCCTACTTCCAGTTTAATCAGTTTTCTTTCCTTTGCCACCAGATAAGCAACTCCAAGCAAGACTTGTTCCTTTGAATTGCTCACTATGAATTATATATGCATCCCTGCTAACTTTTGCCTTGATATCAAGGAACTTTTGTCAAGCCTTTGGAGCATTCTCTTAAAGCACCTCTCAGCCTCCATCACTGAAAGGAGGCAATGTTTCTGCATCTCTGTGACTTTCTGTGAAAACACATACTTCCTGATTTCCCAGTCTGACTCGACTTTGACCTATTATCCCTGAGCAAACAATCCTACTTTTTTTTTTACACCAATTTGTCATCAGTAGTGTGCCTCTCCCCTTTTTCAATGCAATTAGTGTGGTACTTAATGCCTTGGAGTCTTGGGCAAAACTGCTACAAAAAAGATTATCATTTTAATAACTGTGTGTGAGTGTGTGTGTGTGTGTGTGTTTGTGTGTGTGTGTGTGTGTACGTGCACTGACAGTAAAGAAGTCATAGTAAAGGAAGGATCCTTGTTAGGAAAAAGCTGAAGGCAAGAACTGTAAGACGCAGCCATCTGACAGTGTACCTGGAATGCCAGTGTGAAGACCCGACTTAATGGGCAGTCAGAGGCTGTTATCTGTACTTAACCAGGAAGGGTTAGAGCCCTTCTAGTCATTCCACCAGAAACCTGTTTTGAGCATTGAGTTTGACACTAGGAGAGCAATACTGAGCAGTTTGTGACTTGGTTTCTTGCCTTCAAAGAGTTTACAACTTCACTGAACAGAAAAGATGTTCCAAAGAACTGGAGAGTATTGTGAGTCAGTAACTAATACAAAGCTAATTTAAAGATTCCCTGGTCTCTCTTGAGCACTGTGAGCTAAAGCTTAAGAGAGAAAACCAGCATATGAAAGGCAGACGGCAGGGAGAAAGGCAGTGGGACAAGACCCAGCAGGTTCTGCCAAGCCCCAGGATGATGAGTGACTCACCATGGGAAAGAAAAGAGGGCCGGATAAAGAGCTGCAGTCATATGTAGGAAAATGCGAAGGAAGTACATCAGACGCTCCAGCTTAAGTAACTAGTTTTTGTTATATGAGAAACCAAAAGAACACATAAAGAGTAAACTAAAAGAGAATAGGAAGTGGGGGGATAGATCTTTCTCCGGTGGAGGTGGATCAAGAGAAGAAGGCAAGAGAAAGAAAGGGGCTGAAATCAGGAATGGAGATGTGTTATGCACAGGTACAGACTTCACCAAAGAGATGTGAACGTTGTGTTCTGCAAACAAGTGCTGATAAAAATTACATTGAGATTCCAATAAATAAATTGGTTAGTCAATTAATTCAGCTTAAAATATGAATGTGCAGTAATACATTGTAGAATACATTTTAAGTGAAACTGGGACTATCAAGAGACTGAGTAGTTCACCTAGAGAAAAGCATTTCAGTGCACTCTTCATGCTCTACTGGGGATTTTCATGCAGAAGCCTCAACTGGAGGTATGGAGCCACCAGAGCTATGAGGTGAAGGAAAGAAAGGCAGGGAGAAGACAGGCGGATTGACACTAGCTTGCCGTGGTGTACAGCAAGCAACCTGGAAACTTGAAAGGAGGGACAAATGCAGATGCCACCATAGAAACGAGGAATTCGGAAGTACATACAGGTGCAGGGGCGGGCGGACGGTGAGCAGGAGAATATTTCATCTGTAATGTCCATTTCAGTCAAAACGGAGGTGATGAGCTTTGATGAGAAACCAAAAACAAGATGCTCTGTGCGCCACTGAAGTCTGTGCCATGCTAGGCATGGTGACGCTGAGGCTCGCCTCTAGTCCCAGTGCTCTGGGAGGCTGCAGCAGGACTGCGGCAAATGAAGTCAAGCTTCGATAAGTTAGTGAGACTCCATCTCCAAAAAGCAATTTTAAATAAAGGGATATGATGAGGCTCAGTGTAAATGCCCCCAGTTCAATCTCTGATATCATTCACACACATGCACACACACAGGCATGCACACACGCACGCACGCAAACACACAGACACACAATGTACTGAGTAGAGCTGTGAAGCTCAATCTTGCTCTAAAAGAATATAAATGGATAAGACAGAAAGGACCAGCCCTTGAAATTCTCATAGGCAGGAGAAACTAAAAAGGAAAAAACAATAACAACTTGATTGTCCAAGGATTTACTATGTTCGAAGGATTATGTTGATCTTTACATACGTTAGCTTGGTCAATTTCAAGCAACCCCCTGTGGCTAATCCTATAATCATCCCAGTTTCACAGACTTAAAACCAAATGCTGAGGAAATTCAAGCTCCAAGAATTTAGTTAATAAGTGGTACAACCAGGATCCACAAACAGGCTTGTGTGGCCCCAAAGTCAAAAGACAAGCAGCCACATCAGAGCAAAAGACACCACAGGAAGAGAGTGCTGAGAGCCAGTTCGCACCACAACTGTGGAAATCATGGTAAATATTAACATTTTTGATTCCGAGTCCAGCTTAACAACAGCGAGGTGCACTGAAGCAGGTAAGAACCAGGCT